CACTTAGTTATTTGGCTCGTCTCTTCGTTTTTATAAAACAGACAAACTAAATGATTTTAAGTACCCTGCACCTAGCTTCTTACAAATCAAGCTGCAAAGTCCAGTTATTTAAGCCAAAAATATAAACTACGTAATGAGAGATAGTAATCTATAAAATTCTATAAATATTTATTTTGACATTCTAAATGTTGTCCCAAAAGTCTCTAAGATCTCGTGTCCGCGCCGTACAATATTCAAGGTCTCGCTTCCTAGGACTTCAATGGCATTTGCATTTATTATGAAAATTTCGTAGTTTCAAGCATTTCTTTTATATACTTAACCGCTTTTTAAGATAGAACGCGGAGAGCGCGCAGCGCTTAGCCATTCACAGCATAATGCAAGGTCAACCGTAAATCCCAGCGAAACAATACGCTGTATAAAGTCTATTAATCATTAAAATATATAATTATCAATAATTAACATTTTTATTAATCAATACATTATATTTATAATTATCTCACGTTCCGAGGTGAAACCCCTAGCTAACACTTCCCTTATGTATGTAGTCAGTAATTATATACGAAGCGTAGAATAATGCATTTCTTGAAATTCTAACTGGATTAATGAAGCGTATTTAGACTTATTATTAAATGTATATTTTTTGTTTACTCTGCCTGTCACAGGCCTCCACTCATTGCTGAGGGATTTGGGGTAGGTAAGAGTCCAAACTACCCAATTCTTGTTGTAGAACTTCACCTATTACCGAAATTTTAAACACTTACAATACTTAAACATAGAAGTTCCTCAGAATGTATACTATTACTTTCGAGTTTGTGGTAAATCAACACTTGAAATTGCGACTTACAATTTCATTGATGTAGTGAAAAGTACGGTTTACTCGCATATTTTAAGCCCAACACTTATGCCCCTCCCCTAAACTACACGGCTAACATCAACTTAACTTTTCTGTCTCCTTTAACAAATGCGATGATACGATGATATATGATGACGCTGGCCTCATATGCCAAAAAATTGCATAATTGTATGTATAATCTTTTACGCATCTCTTGTCTCAATCAGAGGGTAAGCAAAATGGAAGATGGCTAACAGCATATTCCTGATAGCAAAACACTAGAAATAATAAAAACTGTGGTTGAGGCAATTTATTGGGAAGGCCAGTGTTCAGCAGTGATTTTTTGATGGACTGTAATGAAGAAAGAAATAAATATTTATTTTTAACATCTGATTTTATTTCATTTTAGTCTATTAACGTTTCAAAATGAAAGATCAAAAGTTCCTAAAAAATTAAAGGTATTAAACTGATAAGGTTGTTAATTTTTTTACGTGGTAGAGCCACGCTGCAGCTATGTTATGGCTGTAGCACGAGTGGGCCGGCTCGACCGGGGAAGGACCACGCTCTCACAGAATACCAGCGTAAAATAGAAGCCAAATACTGCTATGTTTCGTATGGTGAGTGTAGAGATCCGGAGACCCTTTTTTACTGGAAGCGAGGTATTCTGTCTTAGTCCTCAGGGGTGACAACGCATCTGCATTTTGATTCGTAATCGAGGATAGATGTAGATGTCTATGGGCCACAGCATCCACTTACCATCAGGTGGACTGTATGTTCATTTGTCACCCTTATTCTATAAAAAAATCTTATGAGATTGTATAAATAGATATTGATATAGGAAAATATGAATCGCTAAAAGAATTTTCTGAAACTGCTCTACATCATGTCCGTTATATCTTCGAACCATGAAGCAAAAAATTATACAATCACTGAAATTTTCTGGTGAAGCAAGGAACCGAGATGTGGTCGTTTTGGTGGTCGAGGTCTTTTGAGAAAATTTAAAGTACGAGTTATGGAGACGTCTACTCGGAATGATTCTCTGTGTTATTATTGTAACGAGATCATTCGCAGGACAAGTTCAGTAGCTGACATAGTCTAAGGAATTAGTATGCTAAAGTGGCAATGAATGACGATGTAGCTAATAGAAATCGATGAGAATCAAAGGTAATGTTTAGTGACCTCCCTAGATAATAGATGGATTAAAAAGACACATAGTTTATGGATGTAGGAGAAAAGGACCATTGTTTTTCATAATCTACGAAGAACTTTATTGAGAAGTGACCTTCTAATAGATTTCAATCATCATGGTAAAGAGTACAAAAGCGTGGAGTATTGTAAGTGTAATTAACTACTGCGATCTAGTGTACAATCCTCAGATGACGAGGACAGCACACTAGAGTCCTCATCGGCATTTCTTCTTATTTAATTTTTTTTAGGATTTCATAATAAACGAGCACACAGTCTACCTGATGGTAAGTGGATGCTGTGGCCCATAGACTACATCTATCCTCGATTACGAATCACAATGCGGATGCGTTGTCACCCTTGAGGACTGAGATGGAGTGCCTCGTTTCCAGTAAAAAGGGTCTCCGGTTCTGTACACTCACCATACCAAACACAAGCTACTATTTTACGCTGTCATCCTGTGAGAGCGTGGTTTTTTCTCGGTCGAGCCGACCTATTCCTGCTACAAATATACTACTAATATAACTGCAGCATGGCACGTATAAAAAAGTGAAAGTATGACATCAATAGTCGACGCTTCGTACATTATGTTTATGCTTTTTTTTATGTTATTCACAGTCGTGAGCCTAATCACTCATTTATTAAACTTAACTGGTCACAATGGTCTCGTAACACAGCGTATGTAACTAATAAATACAAAATAAGAGCTTTTCGGGGTGGTTTTCGATTATTTATGTATTTATTTTCCTATTAAACCCACAAGCAATTGCCAAATCAATATAACATCAAAACAAAGTCAAATATATATCTAACAACAAATTTTACGCATATCATAAAAAGTAGGTTTTGGATACAATTAAGTGACGAAGTTATTAACCAAACCAATCCATTCCTATTTTTATACCAATTCTAATATTAAATTCGGCACATTAAGCGCTTAATAACTAAGAAAGACTTGGTATTAGTGATGCTGCTCTGAGCTCAGTCAAACTTTACTATTTATAAGAATCAAAATCAAGGCATTATTACAGTAGCATGAGGAATAAAAGTGTTTATTTCGAACATCACTCCTTAATCAATGTTTGCAATAATCGACCAAATGTGCAGAGAAGGTTCAGAATAATTAAAAATGGTGAATAAAATTAGATAAAAAAATGTCATACACTCTGTTCTTTTTATCTATTAAATTCAAAATGCTTGGTAATTCATTATTTTAACTGCTTTCACTTTGCACGCACATGTTTGTAAGGGTCGATCTGTAGGTAGAAACGTTGTTGCGCATAAATCACATTCAATTTGGAATAAATTCAAATAAAAGTAGAAACCCTATTTAATCGTATTTTCAAAAACTGCCATAACGGTATCGCTATCTCTTTAGTTGTTCTGTTTGAATCTGGCTGTTTTTATTATCAATATATATAGGGTACTAAGGAAAAGATAAAGATAAAGTAAACAACGCTTTCCCGTTATTTTTCAATTGTTTTTCTGACCGGCAAAATGAGTGGATCTAACGAAGAAATTCGATACATTCAAAAATTTTATTACAAATAAGGGGAAAAAAGCGACTAAAACCGGGAAAAAATGTGTGGTGTTTATGGAACTAATTCAGTGTCCGTAAGAGTAGCACAAAGTTGGTTCAAGCGTTTTGCACTCCGGGAATTTTAATGCTAAATATGCAGCTTGCTCTGGTTGCCCTCGATGCGATTTTTGGAAAAGTGGAGCAAGATCGTCGTATTTGTAGTTATGCAATAGCCGAAGAATTGAGAATTGACTACAAAACAATTCTGATCCATTTAAAAAGGTTTGGTTATACAAAAATGCTCAATATTTGGGTACCCCACGAGCTCCTTAAAAGAAACCTAATGATACGTGTACGCATTAGCGATTCTCTATTGAAAGGTAATTAAACCGAACTATTTTTGAAAAGATTGATCAACAGTGATGAAAAATGAATCACCTACGACAAGAACTTGCGAAAGAGATCATTGTCAAAATGTAGTCAAGCTCCACAGACTGTAGCGAAAATGGATTAACAAGCAATAAGGTGATGCTGTGTGTATGGTGGGATTGGAAGGCCATCGTTTATTACGAGCTTTTACCGTCAGGTAAAACCATAGACTTGGATCTCGATTACCAAGGACTAATGAGACTCAAGCAAAAAATTAAGGAAAAACTGTCTGAATTGATCAACGGAAAAGGAGTGGTATTTCACCACGTTAACGCCAAACTGCACATATCATTGGCTACACTGTAAAAATTAAGAGAACTTGGTTGGGAAGTATTAATGCATCCATCATATATTCCTGACCTTGCACCCTCAGATTTTCACCTGTTTTGTATCTTCAGATATATTTGGGTAGTGTAAGGTTAACATCATATACAAGATGGCTACAAGTTATCGAAAAGAATGGCACATATACATTATAATTAAATGTAATTAAACTTTAAAGAATATCTTGAATTTGTGCATAATACATAAAGAAAATTTTTCCCCGACCTTATGTATATATATTCCTTTATTAAATCTAAAGTCGGAATCAAATGTCTACCCACGTTTAATGTCAATAGTTTTTGGGTCTAAATGTATTGTGATTTGGTCTTTGAGTGCCCCGGGCTATAAAAACAGGACAAATGCAACGGAAACCGTAACATAACCATTAATATCCACTATATTATTATGAGTTTTTCGGCATATATAATATAGTAGATATTACCAATTGTATTATATATATATTTATAAAAAAATTGTTAATACCGTTACAACAAGTAAATGATATTCATGCATATGTTTAGCTTAAGCTACTACTATAGCTGCTTCATTATCATCATTACAGCTCTTCATAAGTACAATATTGGACATGGGTGTTTCTAAAATGCCACAAAACTCAACTTCGTTAGACTCTGCATTTCTCTTTAAGGTACGAGACCACAACTCGAGAACATTTCTTTTTCATTAATTCATTTAATATAAATCAAAACTTACCTACACTCCAGCAAATCGCGGCAAAAATAGCCACAACAATGTGGCTCGTTGTAGAAGGAATCACCTCCATGCCCCTCGGTACTACTTGATACTCCGAAAACCTTTTCATATAATCCAGACACTTATTTTGTTGCTTAGTCACTTAACGTCTCATTGAAATCAATATTGTTCAACACATTACGAGATTATTTCGCATCTTAGCCACCACTTTCATTTTACTTCATGCATCTGCGTATAAAAATATAATTTTAAAAATGAAATGATTTCATAAGTGTTTTAATAATAAATAAAGTTTTAATGATCGTTTTCCCATTGGTTGCATATTATCAATTCCCGTATTGTTCGCATATTATTTACAGTGTAGTGACGACGTAAGAGAATAAACTGTCATATATCATCCCTTGTGTGTAGTAAGTGGTAACAGTGGAAATAAAAAAGAAGTTGCGTAGTAGTATCTTCCTGATAACAACTCACAATTTTAAAATCTGCGGTTGTCAAACCATCTACCAAGCGTGGCGAATATGGTGTATCGTGATTGAGGTCAATATTCAACAGTTAACTTTTATGAGGTGTAATGAATAAAATGAAAATATCAATTATAAAATGGTTATTAGCTTACAATTCTGCAATTTTTTGTTATTAAAGTTATAAAATGTAGTGTTTTTAATGTTTACATAAACATTTATCCTAACATTTCCGTATCACATGCAATACGAAAGAAATGGGTAGGGCATTAGTAACAATTACACAGCTAGACCGTTCCATCAACAATTTTCGTTTTTGCTCAAATTAAAGTTACTATTTAAATTCAAACTTTCAATCGTTAAATTAGCAGACAACCAGACGCTCGGTTTATGTCCACCCTTTATTGTCAACATATCATGCATTCGAACTAAACAGTTTGCTTCGTTGTTTTTAACGCGTAAAAAAAAGACTGCCATAATTTTTCACCATCACTTTTTCCATTCAATTAAAACATTGCTGGATGTCTGCAAGGTAAGAGTTAAATTTACTTTTTAATCCTCTGTTGCATCACCTCTTCTTAACGAGTGGGATAGTAGTCAATAACTGGCTAATTATAGTTAAAAAAAACAAGCTTACTGTCCGTCTGACAGCACGGAACTCAAGCAGTTTCCCCATTTAAAAGTAAATAGGAATAATAAAATTAAGTAGATTAACAATGCCCTTTCAGTCTGTAATTATAAATTGATTCCCTTCAAACCAAAACACAGTAGCAGCACACGCCTATTTCTTCTAACGCATGTTTGGAATGGAGGAACTAAATGGTTATAGAAATTCAATTATATTTTTACCACTGGTTCGGAATAACTGACTAACATTTTGTAAATATTAATTATTTCATTATAATTTCTTATATATACATATATATACATAAATAATACTATTCTTTTTTTTCGCCGGGAATAAAAAAGTTAATTAAATACAATAAAGTACGTAAAGAGATTGTTTTATTAATTATAGTATATTAGGTTTTACAACCAAATATGAAAACATTTAGAAACAGCTTGGTAGTGTTGTCCTCATTCCCAGAGGTTTATTACCAATTATATACCTATTCTTCGATAGTAAAATAGCCCTTTTAACCGCTTCTGCTTATATGTTTTTTTAAATTTTTTTGATAATTATGTTACAGACAAAATTTTTTTTGATAATTATGTTACAGACAAAATTCATAACCCGTTAAAATAACTTTGGACTGCAAAAATCAGGCAAAAATAGTTTTTACTAAGGACGGTAGTCTATACCACTTTTAACTGATTTTCAAAGTCAAAAGCAGTTTTGACTAAGAACGTTGGTTAAAACCTCTTTTACCTGAAAAATTAATCTGTAATAGTGATTTTGACTAAACTATAACGGTTAAAGTAGTTTTGACCAAGAATGTTAGTCCATACTACTTCTTTTTTAATAAATAGGGTGAAGCGAGCACATAGTCCACCCGATGGTAAGTAGATGTTGTGGCCCATAGACATCAACATCTACCCTTGATTAAGAATCAGAATGTAGATGTGTTGACACCCCTGAGGCATAAGATGGAATGACCCGTATCCAATAAAAAGGGTCTCCGAGTCTCTACACTCGCCATAGGAAACACAGCAGTGTTTAGCTGCTATTTTACCCTGGTATTCTGTGAGAGCGTGGTGAGAGCTATCCCCAGTCGAGCCGACCTATTCGTACTACAATCATAAGGTAGCTGCAGCATGTCTCTACCACGTCCAAGTCTACTTTTGACTACTTTTACTTATACTTTTTTATTTTTTAGAATTAAAGAGTTCCCGCTTCAGCTGCATCTTAACCTACTGTTACTTTTTTGATTGCGAGTTTTGACCGATAGTCTGAATTTTAAATCAGGCAAAACCACGTTTAATTAGAAACATTGCTCGAAACCACTTTGGACTACAAAACTCAATCTTTACTATGGGCATTGGTAAAAAAAAACCTTTTTGCTTTATTTTCGCTCGCAAAATGGTTTTGACTGGTTATGAAGTTTGACTATGAGTGATACTTTATATTTTTTGGAACTTTGTTGTAAAAGCGTTACATTTTTTCATAAACGAATTATTGAGTTTTTGGAGTGAAGTAGCTGGAATTGTTTTTATATTTATCTGTCTGTAATATATAAATAAAAATTTACTAAATAACGCATCAAAATGAAATTGTACTAATTAAATATACCTACTGTCAGGTGTAACACGACAGGTCCCTTTTTAAGTCCTTAGGAATAACGCGCATTGTTTAAGTTATATAGTTAATACAGGTTACATAATACTAGTCTACAGCCACAAACAAAGGCTCACAAAAGCTGGTGCGCAACTTCAAAACAACAATGATGTACAACGTAGCGACTGGCAACAATTCCATCTAGTCAATCTCGGAAAAGTGCTTTTTTCCTTTGTTTGCATTATGTGCCTCTGACGTTTTTTTGCTCTTATCTTATTAACACAGTGACGGTTTAATCTATCTTACATTCGCTTTTGACAATTTTTATTCTTATTTTTAAATAAAATTACCGGCGATCATGCTAATCAATATTAATAGAAAAAGTTGTGACCAGAACTCTTAAGAATATGAAAGATATTCAATTAATTTTATATAGTCTTTTTTATTTTGTAATAGAGTTTCAATCAACCAGTGTTTCGCCAGTACTGTTAGAACTCTCATTGCCATGATACTAACATACATACTACGCAGGATTATTTATACGGATTAATACTTTGTGTACTCAGAAGTAGCTACCGTTAAGTTAGATTTAACTTTACTTACAATACATATCTCAAAAGGTACAATCTTGTAATTTTCTTAAGCTTACTTAGTATATTGAAGGAAGTGATATAATTAATCAAATCGATCAAATTTATTATATGTCCATCTCTATTGATTTTGACCACAGCAAACATTTTCAAACGACTGCTATGCTAGGAATTTTAGGTTAAAATCTTATCCAGAGTCAACATTTGTAATTTGGCAAAATTTTGTATTAAGTACAGGTTATTAATTGTTTTTGTGATATTTACCAATGATTTGGAGTCAGCTCTACAAACAAAAAAAAAACAATTTCCAATTATGCATTATATTGCAGGTTCCCTATATACAAGTCGGTCTAGGTAGGTACCAGTCCATGTATACTTATTTGTAGGTTAGTGCGTTTACTACTGAGTTTCGGTCTGAATAGTAAAGAAAAATAATATAATTACAAGCTGTGAGACATTTCATCTTTGCCCTTTTTTCACCTCAATATTATTAAAAAAATTATAAAGTCGCTATTAGTCGTGTTAAGACTCTTCAAGTTTTTGACACTGCATAGTAGCCTACATTCGATCATATCGTTTGAGCGGTACACCAGATCCATAAGTAGGCTTGGAAGACTGAAAGCTTTTGTGGCTAAGTTGTCACTTCTTATTTTGAAGTTCTCTATATCGATAACCGTCGAGAAAGCATCTCCGTAACGGGTTCGTTGCGACAACAGAACGGGACGGACAAGGATCAGCACAATATGTTTAAAAGACTTTTTAAATTAATTTTAAATATATATTTAGCATTAGTTATTGTCCACCTTCATGGCACGTGCTTGCTTTTAAAATTTTCGTCTTTATTTTATTAAAAGTATAAATATTGTTTTATTTCATACATTAACAAAGCACTCGATCGGAAATAAAATATAATGCGGTAAATCCGTGCAACAAAAAGATAATTTGAATGATTTTCTAAATTACAACGTAATTAATACAAATCCTATTTTAAATTATTTATGAATTATTTTCTGCGCATTTATGTTTTATTGGAAAACAATAGTAGAAACGATAGTTGTCTATTGAATTTAGATATATTAAAAAGATTAGTAAAGGTAGTTATTAATATAAACTGACTGGCATATTATCATCTCGTTAGAAATATAGGACACGGTGCGAGGCACTCACCAAAATGTCCCATTGCTCTTTGTGTTGCTTCCTTTTGTTAGGTGATATTTTGTCGCAAAAAAAAAGAGTAATAATGGCAAACTGTTTCAATTTTGAAGATTTGAAATTTATAGTTTCCTAAAAATAATTGTGAGGAACTTTATAAAAATAAAGAATAACTCACATTTACTTTGTGTGACTACTGTATTATTATTATAACAACAATATAATAATTAAATGTACAGTGGGCAAATTCCTTTTTATAAATAAACAAAGGAAAATTTCACCATCATCATCATTACGGCATTTCACAAATCCACTACTGAAAATTGACCTTCCCCAAGGAATGCCACAAAGCCCGGTCGTTTGGGACTACTACCAATGTAATATGTAATATATGTATTTAACGGCTTTTTCATCTTAAGTTTTTCTCGTGATAATATAATTCTTAATTATGATATCGCAGTAAAACTAACTTATCGGATAAATCCATAAGTTAAAATAGCAATAGGCCGACAATGTAGCTTGAAAAATCAACAATCGACGGCGAAGTATGGTTTTCGTATGACAGCCTCCGTACCAACAATTAAAGTAACCGTGCAATAAGTTTTGAGTTTTGCTTTTTTACATTCTTTCCGAATGAGGGGCCTATGTTCATCAGTGAACTGTAGTGATGGGCTGCTGTGATGATGGT